AGTTAATCTACTTAGTAGTAGTTATCAAGGCATACTGGATGATTACAGATAAATGATCTGGCCACAGTTAAATCAAGAAGCATAATAAATCCTCCATTGTTGCCATTGAGATAGCTGGGTCTTATAAAGTCTAGCTCACTGTAACTGAGCTGAGAATGATGCGCAAAACCTGGTTGACACAAATTACAAAACAGTTTATGTTCTCATATTGATTCAATTAGTTTTCTATATAACTTCTGATATTATGATTGGAAATACCCATAAAGGTGGTATGATATAATAATTCCTACATCTACTTAATGGCAATCCCCTCTTTCTTAAAAAAATTTTGTGCATATATTTAACAGACAATCTGACAATACCCCAACAGCATTGGCATAACAGTGAATTGGAGAAAGCATAATGGGTACAAGGCATTCGAGTATACTGCTCAATTTTCAATGTAGTGTAGAATACAGGCTAAGCAGAACATGTCTAGATTAACAATGCAAAGTCCTAGGCATGTTGACAGAGGTATTAAAATAATAAAATTAATAAAACATGCTAACAAAAGATGTCTAATGTGCTGGGTCACGTTGATTTTGTCGAGCTTGAGACATTAAACATGTAGTGAGTCTTACGTTTGCAAGGGTAAACAATGTTAAAAAACAGGTTTGTAGATAAAGGCATGCTTATATAACCTACCTATCTAGACATGTCTATTTACGTGACTTAAGTTAAACTGTCAAGCACATAAGAAATGGTAAGCAATAAGTAGTTATAGACATGTTAGGTATGGATAGCCACTGTTGCCTTAACTCTGTTCGTGCTGCGCTACAGGAAATTATTGTTAAGAAACATAAACATAAGTAACATGGTGTCATGTATCTAATTCTGCATCATGAGTGTTGTGGCAAGACATGCTTTGATAACACGCTGGCTGATCTGATCCGCTAGGAAGGCAGTCATTCAATACCCTGGCTGGGTTCACGAGGGTCGGTGACATTGCATAGTCAGTGTGATGCGACGAACTCGGTGACTGTTGGAGGCCAAGTTCTTTCCATCCTGGTTGGTGCTTAGGGCTCTAAGTGTTGTGCTCTTCTGCCGGCATGGCTGGTGCCTTGGGGTCATCCCCTATTTGGCCCTAGGCTTCGGGAGGTTTAGATTAGTGGAAGTTGGTGCTTTTGGGGTTTATTTGCCTGTGTGGGGCCCCAGAGAGCTCACCTCATGGTGTTGCGGTTTTTCAGCCAGGGGTATAGTGTCCACCCCCTTCAGGTTCATACTTTCCTCCAGTGCCATCCAGAATTGGTCAAATATCGATTCAAGTTGGTCTTTGATGTTACTGTGAGACGCAGAGAGGTCGGCCTTACATGGTGCTAGGCCTTGTGTCTCCTTGATAGTGCGTCCACCATCTTGTGCAGTGACTCGGTTCCCTCTGTGCAAGCTTGTTTTGAGACCAGTGTAGCTTGGAATACGCAGGTAAGAGGCGGCAACAGGGGGTTTTGTGAACTGGATGACCCCCACCAGTCCTGTGGGGGGTACGGGACTAGACTGTGATTTAGCCGCGGCCCTGTTGTGAAGGTCGTCCACCACTCCCAGCTGGGACTGCGCTAGGCCTCATTAGCTCCAGACCAGTAATCAGCCGCAGTCTGACTCAGGTTTGCACCAGCTGGTGCCCGCTGCGTTCCCGGTACTACTTGGTACGGGTGGAAGTAGGATGCAGTTCAGTATTGGTCGGTTAGCGGGCTTTAAAGCAATGTATGCGGGGAGCCCCAGTCCTGTGCGACCGCTCAGCTAAACGGCTAAGCCCCGCCCCCAATGGTAACGCTCTTTTAATAGATGAAAAAAAACATTGCCAGATTAAATAAATCATAATTTTTTATTTTTTTAAATTTTTTTTATACTAAAAAGCCTATACTCTATTAATCTGTCCTAATCTGCATATTGGAACTGTGCACTATTATGAGTGGGCTCATTATTTTTTTTTTTTTTAGAGAAACAGTAAGAGAGTCGGTATGTAACAGAAAGGGCTCAAATGATTGAAAATGCATATAGACAGCAAAAAGCTGCCAGAGAGGGATGGGGAACATCTGCTTCTGCTATCTAGTCAAATGACCATTTACTCTTCTTTATTTTCAGTTTCGTACAGAAAATCAATTCCGTGCTATTTTATTCTGGTAGTATTTCATTGTCCAGAGACTATTATGCAGACTATAGTGTGAATTCTTCTAGTACTGTGATGTGCAAACCAGGAAAAAAGATCTGCATTTAGTGTTTAAACTGGATGTCTTTAGATATATGATGTGTGCATGCTGCATATGTAGTTTGCAGACCCTTTGACGTGACCCACAAGCTGAATGCATAAATAATTTAGATTTTTCAACTACTACTGGAATTTCTTTAAAAAATTAAATAAATTGGGGGGGAAAAAAAAGCAAAATTGTTTTTATATGTGACTTACCACTTAAACCCCCACCACCAAGTATATATACACACACATCAAATGAAAATGTGGTTGTTGTTGAATTTTCAGCAATTTTTATATTTCTAGGTAGCTGCATAAGGAAAATTAAAAAAATTTTTTTTTCTGAAGCCACAGTAAATGTTCATGATAAAATGTAACATTCATATCCGCAATTGAAAAACAATCTAGCACCGTTTAGTGAATCCGCTGGGCTTTTACTCGCGCTACTCCAGAGCACTACGCTGCATTCCACAGAGAATCCAGTCCTATCTAAAACTGCATCATGCAGGTTTCAGCAACTCTGTGCAAATAAAAAAAGTAAAATATCAGCTTTATTATAGCATAATGGTTTTCAACTTTTTTTTCACTTGTGTACCCTTTGGTAGCCCATTCCAATAAATTGTACCCCTCATATTTGCAAATTGTTTGTAAGCAATAGTTGCTGTTATTTCAAAATGAAATGCTTTTTTTCCCCCCACCCTCCTCCTTCCACTGACCCAGCATTGGATTGCAAGGGTGTGTTGACATTTTAATGCTGGGATGTATGAACATACACTGCCACAAGTATACATAGACATTAACACACACTGACAGATTGATGCTGTGGGGATATTTATGGGATAATAATAGTAAACAGTTGAGAATTGCCCACTATTTCAATTCTCAGATCCCAAAGAACGTTTATCGTGTTAAGTGGAATGTATTTCATATAATTAATCACAATGTATAAAAATAGATTTTATTTATGATAACCAATAATTAACAAATAATATTATGTAACATGCATAACAATAATCAATGAATATTCAGTATAAATTGGTATGCAATACAAAGGAATGGGTATTACGTTTCAATGGCTAAACGGCATTATCTGTCAAGAATTCTGACGATTTATGAGGTATACTTTAACACAGACTTTTCACAGCTAAGAACAGAATTCCTCAGAGTGCAGCGTAAGGTCGTAAAGTTTAGCAGACAGTTAGAATAACCCTTTCAATGCTGGCTAGATCTCCTAGGTAGTTAAGATCTATTCTTATGTATTTTTAAATAAAATAACATTTAAACCAGTTCACTAGTCATTTTCTTAAACCATCCATAAGAGAATTTACCACATTATATAAGCAGATTTTTAATTTGTCTAAAAGATATCTATCTTAATTTAGAGCAAATCAATACACCTGGATAAAACAGCGGTATGCTAACACGTGATAATATCACATCAATATATAATTATTCTTAATTCCACCTGCAGAATGGAATGTTTATAACTATATATTCTTAGTTAACTAAGATTTCTTAATATGGAAATCTGACCGTGCTTTATCCAGTCATATATAATGCTATTAATATAATTTAGTTAATTTAATTAAATGAAACCAGTATAATTACCAGTTGAGTAGATATTTCATCCGATTGGTAGTCTCTCTGCATGGAGGTGTTGGTTAGAAAGTCAGTAAATTCTAAGTGTTAGAGTTTTAGGAGTAGAGTGTTATTCTCAGATGTTGTCCGAGTTGGAATCCCCAAACTTCCAATTCCTCTCTCCTCTCCGTTGCATATCTTGCATGTGCCTCCTCTCGTATCTTTCTTGTCTCTATCTTCCCTTTGTCTTAACTTTTAAAGGGCCAGACTCTCTGTACGTCATCAGTTGATAACCCAATAGAAGCACTAGAGGTGTGGTTATCTTCCAGATCGCAAATTAGTTATTTGGTCTGTAGAGGGCAGTCTTGTCCCACTAAACATACCTATCCAGGAAAGAGTTAACTTTTCCTGGTGGCTATTTTGACGTCATTTTGCGTTATCTTTATAGCGCCATAATTTAAAATTTCAAAGGGTTTCTTAAATTTTGTCCAGACTTAGCGTCTGCAATTCCTGCCATAATTTCTGATATGACAGATCATGAACTAAGTTTACCCTTTTCCATACAATGGTACCTTATATATATAGACAGTTAAATATTAAATTATTTAATCTTCTCTGTCACAATTGTCTGGGTTTAGATTTGATTATATTCCATTAGCATTAGACAGTCTGTCCAACCCCCTTCCTTATCACTTGTTTATACTATGCATACCTTAGCTCTGGCAAAGAGGCCAGTCTTATAGAAAGAAATCTAGTGTCTTCTTTGTTAACTTGAAATAACAAAATGGAGTCTGGTCTGTTCAGAGTGACTCAGAATATACACTTTTAGTTTCTATCATAGCACAAAATGTCTGCCGATATAAATACTCTGACATAACCCCCCTTTAGTGCATTTCATAGCCAAAATTAATTTAGCTTATGAATAAGCACTATAGAAGTTATCAGACATATTGTGCAATCACATCATTTCTAACATAGGCCCGTGCGTGGAATGAACATTTTTGTATATATTTGTACCTGTAAGAGTTTTGAACTTTACACTTAGTACAATCAACCATAATATCATTATTACATAGTACATTGTTTTCATTTAAAAATGTCTTTGGGAGTTACATATGGTATGGTCAATAAAAGCAAATCTCCATACGTTCCGGATCAATTAAGAGAGGTATAACGCTCCCCATCTCAAAGGCCAGATTTAATTGCATAGGCTCAATTGTCTCTCCATCCACATTGGCAAGCATCGCATGAACAATATCCTTGGATACAAAATACAGAGGTATGCGTCCCCCTGCCATTCGATCATTCCAGTTTGCACTTCGTCAAGAAAAGCAAGTGTGTGGAACAATATTGGGTCATGCAGAAATAAAAGTTCACGCTTAAATAAGTCATGACTTTGGTGCAACTCAGTGGATTTGGCAATTAACTCTGAATGCAAATTTGTTGTAACAACTGTGTCTTCCACAATAGTTAACACGTCTTGGAGAAGTGTTCTTTGCTGTTGTATCACCTGATGAATATCGTTAATGTGTTGCTTTAGCGCATAGATTTCCATATCCAGCTTTTGGACAGTAATAGAGTTGGCTGCAGACATTCCAGTTGCGACAACTGCACCGACAGTGGCACAAACTAATGCAACAATTATAGCGGTGAGGAACCTTTTGGGTCGGTTGCTCATCGGAATAGAACTGGATACAAATGGTTTCCGGGCTTGCTCCAAGATGTTTCGCACACGGTCCTGTGCTCTTTGGAGGTGCATCTGGTACCAAGTCTGTAACTCAGGAAGCTGCATCGATGAAATGTTGTATGCCTTCTCGATGGAAATCTTGGGGTCCAAGCTGACGAACACACGTCTGGTCAGGATCCTCTTCTCTGTTAAGATGAACCCTGGTGTCTCTTGAATCAGGATGCCGGAGGATGGTCCCATCTCTGCGATCGGGTCGGTCCGTAGCTCTTGGCACAGGAGCAGTACGATCCAGAAACACGCCACATCCTTCTTGGACATCTTTCGACAGTCACGGATCAGGAACTCGTTTCAGACTTATCTACTAATGATTCAAGGTTTGTTAAGCATACAAACTTATAACAGTGTGACATCACTTGGCCTAGGACACATTATTATGATTCATCAACATATGTATTCTGTCTAATTCTATTTTTATAACTTCATCCCTTACTACATTTATTACTGACTCTTCAGCAATTTGCCTATAGCATTTAAACAAGCTAGTAACCTGCTTATAAAATGTAGTTATTGGATGGCAAGGAAATGGTTAATGACATGAACGTACATGAGATCATGGCACATCACAACATTTCACATCATACTATACCACGTGAATCAAGCATTCATCCAGGTTAGTCGTTCACCCTTCTGCGTCTGAATCCACACCTATAATCCTTAATTGAGATTTAGGATGACAAGCACGCAACTGGTTAATGTGAACCCACTTTTCAATAAAATCACCATCCTTAGGAATTTTTATCTTATACGCTACAGGGGAAATTTTGTCAATAATGACATATGGCCCTTTCCAAGAAGGTAAAAATTTCTTTTCCTTGACTTGATTTCGCGCAAAGTTATACAGATAGACTTGATCTGTGATTTCATATTCCTTTTTCGTGGTTTTTAGATCGTAATAGGTCTTAACCCCTGTCGCTGCTTTTTCTAGATTCTTTTGGGCAAAAGCAAACGCATGCTGTAAATGCTTGCGCAAATCTTCGATATACTGATGCGTAGTGGCAGCATTGATCAAGTTATGATCCGAAGTACGATATAGTAAATGCTGTGGTAAAACCATCTTTCTTCCTGTCATCAATTCAAAAGGTGACAATTTGGTAGCAGTGCTAGGTGTAGCTCTAATCGCCATTAAAACTAGGGGCAATTTAATGTCCCAGTCTTTACCAGACTCCTTAACATATTTCTTTAGAATATTAACGATAGACTGGTTATATCGCTCTACCCCCCCGCTAGACGCAGCGCGGTATGCAATATGTAGCTTTCGTTTAACACCTAGAATGTTCCACATCTTAGCCATTACTTCGCTGGTAAAATGACTACCTCTGTCTGACTCAATTCTTTGAGGCAGACCGAACCTGGAAAAGACATGGTTAATCAACAAAGTGGCGCACACGGTACTCGTGTTCTCTTTACAAGGCAAACATTCTATCCACTTTGTGTACATACATGTAACGGTTAACATGTATTTGTTACCTCTTGAAGATCTTGTTACAGGACCTATAAAGTCAATTTGAATATCAGACCAGGGTAATGACACCCCCCTCTTCTGAAGTGGTGCACGATGGGTTGGACCATGGGGTTGATATTGTGGACAAATCAAGCATCCCTGACAGTATGTCTTAACATCCCTTAACATGTGTGGCCAATATGCATAATCACGCAATATCTCATATGTGATCTTATCACCACGATGCCCAGATGTAGGTGCATCATGTGCGTGTTGGAGCATTAACCCTCTGTATACAGTTGGGACTACCCATTGTTGTATACCATGTTTAGAAGTTCTGACCAGTAACCCATCCATGATACTAAATTGGACTTTATATCTCATCAAGATTCGTAAATCTTCATTATCTTTGCAATCCTCATCTGTGATGGGATTGGCAGTAGGGTCTTCTATATGTTTATAGAATATGCCTATGACGGGATCATTCTTTTGACTAGTAATCAGGTCCTCACTAGGAGCTTCTTGACTCCATTGCACGACATTTAAGTCGGCATTATCTCTAGCCTGTCGTCTAGTTATGGCTTCAACATGAATTGAACCCATAAGATCATCAATGTTTAGGGTTTCACCATTGATGGCAGCTTGTTTTGCCAGTGAATCGGCTAAGTCATTACCATCCTTGTCAATACCTTCTATTTTAGAATGGCCTTTGGTTTTCTTCCAATATATGGTTAAACCATTTTCCTTAACCAACTCATCGATTTTACAAAACAATTTCCCATGTTTAACAGGTTTGTTATTGCTTTTCAGCATTTGGTTACGTTTCCAGCTAGGCAGATATTCGACGAAACTGTTGCGAACATAGTTGGAATCAGTTATAATAACAAATTCTTTGATACCATATTCTATTGCCATTTGAATGGTCTTATATACTGCACAGAGTTCGGCTATCTGACTGCTTTTGGGACCAATATTGTATCCTATAGATACATTAGGATAATCACCTGTCCAGGCGATTCCGATACCTGCAACTAACTTCCGTTCAGCACCAACGACGTGGTGATATGAACAACCATCAATGTATACCCACGGTAGTGGTCGACAGTATTCCTCGTCATAAACTTTATAAGGAGATAGCAATTGCTCTTCTAGGAAGTCATCTCCGGTGTCATTATCATCCAGAGATGGAGCAGTACAGTCATGTAATTCTGCTAAACCTTGGGCAACTGGGCTTCTCTTATTATGTTTATAACGGACTTCTAACGGCCATCCCTGTAAGGATAGAGTCCATGCAGTAATCCGACTGTTAGAGAGATTACCGTCTCTAATTCTTTCACTCTGCAGATACTGTAGAGGTTGGTGAGCTGTTTCTACAATTATTTTCTCACCTTGGATATAGCTACGAAAATTTTGTAGTGCCCAGACAGTCGACAATAACGCCTTCTCACACGTGTTGAATTTAACTTCAACAGGTGACAAAGTCTTGCTAGCATATGCAATAACTTTGTTTAAACTGTCCTGCTTCTGATACAGAACAGCACTTATGCTTAAATCGGTATATCCTGTCTCCAGATAGAAGGGTTTACCCCCCTCTGGGTATGCTAAACAGGGTGCCTGAGTGAGCTTCCTCCTCAGTTCACTTACCGCTTGGTCCTGAGGCTCCCCCCAGTTCCAGGTAGTTTCCTTTTTAAGCAGGTGTAAGAGTGGTTTAGTTATTTCTGCATAGTTATCTATAAACTTACGGGAGTAGTTAGTCATACCAAGGAACGATCTTAATTCCCTGATGTTTGAAGGTGTTTTAGCCTTTAGTACGGCTTCAACCTTCTTCCTCTGGGGATTTAATCCTTCAGAAGTTACCTCATGTCCGAGGAAATTGACATGGGTGCGACACCATTGCGCCTTTTGTAAAGACAGTTTAATCCCTGCTTCTCTTAACTGAGTGAGAACATGTCTAATCTCCAAGATATGCTTATCAAAGGAAGTGCTTTTCAGCAAGACATCGTCGACATATGATAACGTTCCTCTCTCGAGTGCGTCAGGCATAGCTTTATGCATGAACACAGCGAATTCATGACCAGAGTTTATATAACCGAAAGGCATACGGGTCCAGGTATACTGCTGCTTTCCAAATGTGAAGGCCAATTTGTATTGGTCTTCATTATGGACTGGTACAGTCCAATATCCCTGCGCACAGTCAATGGCAGTGAATATTTTGGATCCCTGCATTTGTACCAAACATTGGTCTATGTATGGCGTTGGCCAACCAGACATATAGACGCGTTTATTTAGCTGTCGTAAGTCAGCGCATAAACGCCATTGTCCATTAGGTTTCAGAATCCCCAAGATTGGATTATTATACGAACTGTGCACTGGACGTATAATGCCCCTTTCCTTTAAATTCTGAATGATGTCTTGTAGACCATCATATGACGCTAATGGGAGTCTATATTGTTTGATAAATACAGGTGGTAAATTTGGATCAGTTTGTATTCTGGCTACGTGGAGGTTAGTTAACCCACAGTCGTAGGAATCTTTGGCAAAAATATCTTGGAATTCCAAAAGGATTTCCTTTAGCTGTTGCCGCTCAGCATCATTGGAGCAACCGTCAGCTAAAGATATTTGCTCTTCTAGCCTTTCCTGAAATCCTGGAAAGATTTCAGGCTGGCCTATCTCATAAGCTTCTTCAAGCCTAGAAGTTAGGTCAGTTCGGTGTTGACTTACCTTTTCTCTTTGGTCGTGATACTCTTGTGATTCCTGCTCATTGAGCGGATGATCGAAGGTGATAGATGCTTCTTCGATTTTACACGAGCCTTCTTCAACGTTGAAGGGATATACAGATAGGATAGTGAATAATCCTTCTGGGGAGGAATGGAATATTTGATCGACAATTTCGTCCTCAGTTAAGTATTCTTCAGGGATGAGGCCTATAATTTGGTTTTGGAAACCAAATGTATAGTACTCAGCATCCAATGCTAGACCTAATGATGTTCCTTTTGGTAAAGTAACACTATTGGGTGTAACATTGTTGACCATTATATATGTGGTATTCTTACCAATACTTACCATTGGTGTATGTGTTACCACCATCCCTAATTGTTGTATCCTGTTGGATAAACAGATTAGGGCATCAGAGTTTTCCAATCTCTGACCCTCCTTGACCTGTAGGGGTAAAAGAAAATTACTTGTCCCCTGTGGAATGGTTATGTCATCAGGAACTTGGATACTTACCGCATATGGGAGTATTTGTCCTGATTTCAGGGCATTTTCCTCGTGTAGGTATCCACAAGGATTACCTTTTAACCTTGTCCACAAGTTGGAATTAATCAGGTCAAGGTGTATGGCAAAGCGATGTATGACATCATTGCCAACGTAAACCTGATAGCGAGGTTCGTTTATCACTAGAAATAAATGTTTAACGGTCTTATTTCCGATGGAAATAGATAGTAAACATTTTGCTATCACATTGTGACTCTCTGATTCGCCATCCAGGTTCTGGATCCACCTGTCATGTGGGGAAGCGTACCTGATCATTTTAGGATTAGCTATCTGCTTTAACAGACTTCTGCTAATATAGCTGTTCTCACTCTGTAAGTCCAGCTTTGCATTCCTACTTCTTCCTAAGTCATGTATTTGCATAGGAAAGAATAAGTTGTTATTAACCCTTTCAATTCTGGCAAGGAATTGAGCATGACCTGCCAGATCTACAGATTCAACATAGTCCCTGTGGAGAGAAATGGTTAAAACATCACCTTCCAGAGAGACATTCTGGATCCTCTCTGGAGCAATTCTTATGGAATGCTCATCTACAGGTGCGATT